AACTAGGAACCAAATACAATATATAAGCATCCTCCATGCATTTTATAACCTACAAGATACAAACGTATAGATCCCGAACTCATCAGCAATGGTGAAAAGACGATCTCATAAACAACCGTTTGAGTATCTTTTATGCGTACCGTGCAAGGTGAAATTAATTGAATATTTCTGCAATAAAATCTCGAACAAGTAGTTCATTCCAAATCCCTTGGGCAAAAAGTTCTCATCTGTAAATTCTGATAGAGAAAATTACAAGAGACAATTAACAAATAGATCATTTCATTCATATATATGTCACAACAAAAAGGTGAAGACCACCTCACGTTCATACTTGCTACAACATTACATTATCGTGAGTAAGTTTATATTGCTAATTATACAGGAACCAAAATAACTGAAGTCGTCCAATGACTCTTTTACAGTAAGGCATCTCAACTGTCCTTAGTTTTCTGAAGCCCATTGAAGCTTCCTTTTATTGAGAGTTACATGAGGCATTGAGGCTCATTCTAAGCCATCGAACGATTATTATCACATAATGTATTTATTTCTTTCTTTACAGTGAAGGTTCACAAGTTCAAGTAGTCTTAGTCTGCACACTCTAAAACCACTTATTTTGCCTTCTGGGGACAACTCAGCTTGCTTAATGAAGACTTTTTACCTGCAACACAAGAAAAACAAATGTATCAGGAATTTTGATACACCGACAAGACAAAGGGATACCTCACCAAGACCAAAAGTAAGAGCTTTACGTGTCCCAGACCGATTTAGATCATTAAGGTTCCTCATTTTCTGACCCTTCTTGATCTGTAGATGAATTAGTGGCTGTTGGCTTTCGCAGAGTGGCTGGTCCTTTTTTCTCTCTTCATATCCTATCATATACTCACTGTCTTCATCTGGCATAGCAAAGTCAGCTGGATTTCTATTAAGAACACATTCTTCCATCTTCAAACTGTTTCTGAGAGGCTGAAACGCCCCAGCTTTACCAATAGTATCATTTTCCAGAGAGCACCCAGGGTCTTCAAGAGATACATTAGTAGAACCAATCATTTCAGAGCCAACATACCGAGATAAAGAGGTTTGGCAATTAATGGCTTCAGCTTTCCCTTTCTCGGTAGTCTTATGAGAAGTTTGTGCATTGGACCATGTAGCTGTAAAACTAGTTTTATGGAAAGTTACTTCACTTGGATTTCTAGCTCCAAAACCGAGTGTTGGAGTGATGTTATTTGACGTGTTAGTGATTTCCTTCTGCAACTGAGGGCCTAGAACACCAATTCTGGGGTGTGGACGGAGGGGCTTACAGATATTTCTTGCTTGCTCATCTAGTAAGGGCATATAAGAATGTCTCACATCAACTTTGGGTCCAAGAAATTCCCTGCCATGAGCATTAAATGCTTGAATATACCCCATATCATTACTATATCCTGAAAAATGTGGGGTTTCACCTGAACAAGCCGATTGTTGAACGAGCTTGAGCAAATTTAACGAGGAAATGGTTTCATTCTTGTTAAAATCCACTGGCCCCATCATATTAGAATAATACACATTTCCTGGCTCTGCAAAAGATTTTGCTGCCCAAACTCCTCTGCCTAAAGAGGGATCACATTTCTCTTTAATCGGATTTACCAATGGTTGATAACCAGCATTATGTCCAACACTATTGATTTGAGAATAACCGTGCAGTAACTGACATGATCTATCATGAGCATTGCTAAAGAAATACTGAGGTGAAGCTGTAGAACAAAATGGTAGCATCCACGTCCCATTTGTGGACAAGTTTTGTGGAGAATGATTTCGAGGGGCATCGACGATAGAAAGTTGAGCTCCACTCATTGAAAGACCAATATATGGTGAAGGTGTCTGTAACTCTTGAGATGTGCAAGCTGGTGCTTCTTGGTTCAGATCGAAGTGATGATACTGCTTAGTTCCACTACAAGAATGGGCATCTCTTGATCTACATTCAGCATCCCCATCAATTCTTCCAGAAGTGGAAGCACCGTGAGCTGTGTTGCTCTGAGGTTCTTCTTGATTGAGGCATCTATGTGTTGAATCTGATACCTTGCCTTTGAGAGCCTCTGTGGTGTCAACTGATACATTGTTATCCTTCATAGCTCCAGTTGTCTTTGGCGATTTACTTGTATTAAGACTGTCATATTTGGTCTTCGAAAGACGTCTTTCTTGTTGTTTCTTAGCTAAGAGCTCAACAATATCCATAGGAATGTCCTCTGCAGACTCTTGGTTGGATATTTTCATGATTCGTTGCTTTTTCTTCACTTCTCTGTGTAGTTTGGAGACAGATTGCTTCTGTACACCCCAAGAATCCTGAAATTTTAAGGTCTCAATTATCTCTCTGCATAATGACTATATAAGAATACATGCACATTAGCACTTTTTTTTTGGAACAGTGTGGCATAAGTCCGCCAGTATTTTATTACGTAGATGTTAACGAAACATTCTCCATAGTGGAAAGACATGAACATAGATGATAGCTACATTTTATGCAATCCTTTAAATCAGAGAAAATAAGAAATATAATACAAACTGCTCAATTAGTAAAAGAAAAGTATGCACTATGTTGTGTATCTGACTACTCACTGTGCACATAGGGCTATATTAATATAAAAGACTCAGGCAAATTATGAAACTCAGAAGTATGTATCACATAAGAAACAAATATTATTGTTTCACTATTAGCTTTGCACGAGGATGTCTCTCTTTGTAGAACTAGAATTTTTGTGACTCTTCTCATTGCCACTAGTAGGATCACTAATAGTCATAGTGAAAACGTCTTCAATAATGGCTGAGCCTCTACATGAATATCTCACCTACAGATGATAGAATCTATTATCTCGTAACATTTGAAAAACAACTCACATCATATTTAAGAAAAAATCTTGTATTCATAATCAATTTGTGGCACATCACAGAAACTGAAAGCCCATTCAGATGTCCACTCAACAATTTTCTTACACAAAATTATGTTAACTATTAACTCATTTCAAAAATAGGTATTAGACCAGAAATGATGCGTAAAAGACAAAGTTTCTGTCTCAATAAAGACTCTGCTCCAATGACAACTTAAATTATGAAAAACAAAATTATATAAAGGACAAAGATGACAAAATACAATACCTTGAAACACTGTTGATCCCTGTCTTCAAATAGAGGCCGCTTATTCTTCTTATTCTTCAGCTGAAATTTCTTATGGTTGCTCTCTTGAGTTTCTAATTTTCGATGCTGGAATTTCTCAGATATCATAATCCCTGTGGGTTTAAAATGAAAACTCTTGTCTAGTAATTTCTCCATAATGAAATGATCTTTGTGTGTCATGCTATCCTCTTTTGGCATGGAAGAAGGCTTCTGGACTTCCATTGCAGGCATCAAATTTTGCTTCTTTTTCCATATTATTTCTTGCTTATTTTCTTCCTTGCCAGAGTATTCCAGGTTAAGATCTAGGTCTTTGACAGTAGAAGATTTAGATGGACTGACTGCAACATTGACATGCTCATCTCCTTGCACACCCCTATGCGAGCCACCTTTTTTAGACGCCTTCTTCAGCCACTGAATTAGACAAGTTCCTTCGCTGTCATTTGGTACGGCTTCTTTTGTAGTCTTCCTTTTGATTTCTGTTGCTCCACTATTTTGACTCAGATAACATGCATGATTCGGGTTTTCAGTTTGTGCTGACGCATCAGGGGATTGGATACTATCCCCGCCACTGGCATCCACATTTTTGCTAGAAGTACAGTTCTTTTCATCATGTACTATTTCCACGCTTTTCATGATGTCATCTAATGTTCGCATTTTGCGAATCTTTCTGGGCTGTGACTTCTCTTTTCTGGCATCACCTTGGTTATGAAGCACATTCTTGATCAATTGAGTGGAAGTATCAGATGCTTCATCACCAAATTCATCTAGATCTTCTGAATCATGTGATAAAAGAGTCAATTGAGCAGGAGGGGATCCATCACCTGGAGTTTCTATGTCTACACCTAGCATTGATGTTCTCTGTGCCTTGGTCACAAGACTGTCTGCTTGCTTCCTTTTGCCTAATCTTCTGAGCCCTTGATCCTGTTCTTTGTCAGATACTGGAGCCCTGAAGCTTAAGGATGTAAATATTTTTTTACATGTTCCCTTCCCACCAGTTCGATGAGCTAATGCAGTTCTATCCCTTCTGCAAGACCATATGTTTGGAGTATCTGGAGAAAGAAGTGCAATATCTGAATTGTTTGCTCTGACCATAACATTTCCTTCTTTTTCTCTTTTTTCGTATGTTTCCTGTCCTTCTGATACAACTTCTGGTTTGCTCATCAGATCTTTATTTTCTTTTGGTCTATTACAGCCATCTTTAGCGATCCTGTCACCTGCAAAGAGGAAGAAATTAATCAAGCAATTAGTTCCAACTTTTGGGCACTAATTTCAGTTGGCTTAGAAGATGCACTAACCTCCTTTAATGAAGTTTGAAGTTGGACATTCATCACATTTCTTTCCACGACACAGTAATGGGCGCCCTTCACCACTACTAACACGAAAACAGTTCTCTTCAGATTTCTCTGTGGATATGACAAGAGACCTTTTTGTCGCACGATGAGATGCCATAGTTGCATCTCTAAGCAGTCTAATATGTCCATCTTTCCCCTTGCCATCAAGATTAGATATTTTTGCTCCACTTTTTAGGATAGCCTCATGAGCAATGGTCTTTGGCAGACAACTCTGACAATCCCATTGCCTGAACCTTTCCACGTGTAGAGGAGGCAAAATGTTGATTTCTTTATCCGTGTGGTTAACCATAGAAAATGGCCAACAGATCTTCGCATTTCTCTTCCGAACCTCAGAAACGTAACTACTGTGCTCAAGATGAAGATAACTCATTAGAGAAACTCAGACCTCAAAATTATTATACTCTTGCTTCAGGATTGAATTAGATGAAGTAAAGCCACTGAGTATGATACAGAAAAGTCGTCGTCGCGGAGATTGATGCCTATAAATTATCTTAATCCGTTGCCTCAAGATTAAATTGAAGTAAAGCAATTCATGAGTAATATCTTCTCTAAATTGGGAGCTAAAAATCAATATAGCATTAAACATATGCATGTATGCGTGAGAGAAATATAGAGGGAGTACTTCTTTAAATTTTAAGAAAATAATAGATAAGTAAATCTATGTATGTGCGGGTGTGCACACGCATGCTTGTGCATGAGAGAGAGAGAGAGAGAGAGAGAGAGAGAGAGAGAGAGAGAGAGAGAGAGAGAGAGAGAGAGAGAGAGAGAGAGAGAAGACAATGATTACAAGTATCTAAGCTAAAAACAAATGACAGTAGAAGTCGATGCACATGTAGAGCATGTGCATTTGAGAACATTTTGAATGCATGTGTTGGGGCAGGGGAAAGAGGGGGAAGGAGGAAGAGAGACTATCCCTCTCTCTCACTCTCTCACACGTATATCCATATAACGCATGCATGCATGCATGCATAGAGATAGAGAGAGGAGGGAGTTTTCCTCTCTAAACTTAAAGAAATTAAACTTTTCAAGACAGCTATGTATACTTACCGGAGAGAAAAAGATAAAAGGCAACAAATTTCCAGTTTATTGTCTCCATAGTGCTGTTTTCAAACATATTAGATAAGATAATGCTCCTTTAGATGAAGTTAGATACTTAAAACATGTGTGCTAACTCCCACCCTCTCCTCCTGAATAGAGAAGAAAATTCCCGTATGATGACTGAAAACATGCCATTTTTTTATACTACTTGCAGTAAGTAAGAAATAACAGTCTGAATTAAGTCAATATGTTGTAAAAGATCATAATACAACCAATGTGTAGATACATATTAAATAATAAGTATATAAGAAATCTCAACTTTGTTTATTTGGCTGCGATTCCAGAATACACAGTTCATTTTGAGCTTAGTGGACTTACCGGATAGTAAAATGCTCGCAATTGGTAGACTCTCGCTGGGAAAGAACTAGCTCTTCAGCTATTGATGTTATTGGCGAATGGCTATAGTTATAAACAAGAGTAGGTTGCTCAGCAATGTCACTGGGCCTAGTTAACAAACTTGCTTCCATCCCATGAAACCAGTCAAACAGTATGCTCTTCAGTAGTCCTACATGCGCAAACAATATCTTAGAACGTCCTCAGAATTTGTCAACCAGCAGACATTAGAAACTTTTACACTTAACTTTACATCAAAGCGAGGTCATGTACTAACAGCATGCAGTACATCATACAAATTATGTGCATACATATTCACAAATATAATCTCATGCATATTCACAATGTCATCTTCATAAGGATTCATGTGAATATTAGCCACATACAATCATAGACCAACAACACATAGATTGTTAAATTCTTCATTTAAAGATCTTCATATACACACACCTGAACTTATGCTAAAAGCTATCAGTAGCTTATATAATTATTTTGCGCTTTTCATACAAAGAATCAACAAAGTTAAATTTTAATAGAAGCAAGAACATAAAACACGCCCATTGTCAAGTTCCTGATATGAGCAACAGATATCACAGCATTATTGGAGTTTTCTTTTAAACATGACACGTACATTTCTAGCATCGTATTTGTACAGAAAGTGATACATTTGTTTACCCAGTTCATGCTGAGCATTACGTTTCATTAGAAAAATCAAACCAAAGATTTAACTGTAGAAATCTTCAAAGCTCCCTTGCCTTCTTATAATTCAAGGCTAATATTGATATCAGTTTGAGAAACACACTCCGAATCATAAGAAGAAAAGCTCAAAGATGTAGACGAATAGAGAAAAGAGTGTTGTTCAGGTAATGAATACATATCTTAATTTAAATAATACAAAAGCAAACAATTCATGGATGTACTATAACGAAAAAGGAGACTACTTGGAGCATTAAATCAGTCAAGGTGATCATAGATCGAATCGCACTAGAATTCACAGCCCACTAAGAAGCATATAGCTAAAGATGGAGTAAATATATATAGCTAAATGAGTTAATACTTAGCTAAACATAGAGATTAACACATGAAATATTAGAAAAGATGAACATGGTGAAGCTTAAAACAAGTTGTCGACCCACATATATCGCTTCAAAGAGACACACATAAACGGAAGAGAACTGTTCAAGCTCCAGACAAAGTAAAGAATTATCAAGTTACAAATCACATCTACATAAAAGTTTTAAGCATGAAATGATAACACCGACAAGTTAAACCCTAAGAATTATTTAGGGTTTACACTGAAAAATATATATATATATATATAGAAAAGGAAAACATGGGGCTTTTTTCTCCTACTTAAACTAGATGGGAATGGAGATACTTAATCATCATTAATTTTCTAATAAAAAGAAAATCAAAATCAAGTTTTTACAAGAAAATCCACTTTAGGAAATGAGTTAACCTCTAACCAACCAGAAACAAGTACAACTTTCTCGCCCCCACACTAAAAATAAAAATAAAAATAAAAACAGCTAATTTTTCTATAAAAAATATATACCAAAAAAATAAACCGCATATGCAAGTGAATTCAGAACACAACAGCTGATCCTGAGGTAATTATAAAGTAGAAAATCCGATAAAAGAGAGGAAGTTAGAGAGAAGAAAAACAAAGCATTCCAATTCAAAACGTCATAATCATATATATAATACAACAAAAAAAATTTATCCTTAATCCAGCTCATAGTCAGCCAAGAGATGGGGGGAAAAAGGAGGAAATAAAAAATATTTCAAAGGGCAAAATAAATACCTCCCCTCGATCCAAGGCACAAAACTTCTGCCTTTGCTTTTAACTCTTTCTTCTTTAATTAGCCCCCGATCACCTCAAATCTCCATCTCGGAAGAATCCGAGAACGATTGATGAGCCCTGAACCGATCCATAGGAGATCGCCAGCTCGAGATCTGAGAGAATTGGTTAGCTTAGGGTTTGGGGGAACCCTAACCTTTTCTTTTTTAGGGTTTTGAGGGGGGGGGAGAGAGAGAGAGGGAGGGGGGGGAGAGAGAAACAAGAGAGGAAGAGAGAGGAGAGAGAACCTACGGGCAACGCATAGATATCCCCTTTTGTAATAAACTTGCTCCCTTCTCGCAGGCACCCGCCTCACACCCAAACCCAGCACTTGCTGAGTGGGGCCCCCCAAGCCCAACGGTGG